GCAGGCATGTGTGCATGCATGCCCAAAATCCCAGGAGGAGAATGAAGGAGAAGAGAGTGTAGTGTGGCCATCCCCTTAGAGAACAATTTCTCACTTTCCTTCTCACTGTTTCTCTGTCTTTCTGGGGAGCACATACTCTGAGTACTGAGTTTTTAAGGTTTTTTTTTTTATTTTGTGTTAACTTAACTTTTATAAATGTGCATTACCTTAACAACAGAATATAACATTTAAAACTTTTTCTCTTCACATAGTATTTGTGTTCCTGTATCTTGTAGATAAGGACAACATCTGGCTTTAGAGTTTTTTCCTTTATATTTTTAATTGTAGTCTATATAATACCTTTTGGTTCAACAATCTGCAAAACTAGTGATCATGGACTACCTCCTTCTAAAAACATATAAAAACTCTGGGACTAGCATGTAGAATTGGGGCAAGGGTGCTGGGCTCCCACATGGTTGACATAGTTGAAGTCCCAGATCCAGTGGTTTGAAATTCACAGTGGATGCATATGCATCCATGTCCAAAATTCCCAGAGCAGAATAGAGGAGAAGGTATTGTAGTGTGGCCATCACCCCTGGAGGGTGATATCACTTTCTGTCTCTCTATCTCTCCGTCTCTCTGGTGAATGCACACACCTTATAGCAAAAAAAAAAAAAAAAAAAAGAAAAGAAAAGAAAAGAAAAGAAAGAAAGAAAAAAGAAAAGAGACACTGATAAAAATACGTGTTGGTTAAGGCAGGATAGATTGGGGTAACAAAAATACCAAAATATATAATGACTCAAGCACAATAGAAAGGAAATTCTGTTTTCTTGAGAAGCTTATACAGGACCAGTTGTCTTACTAAGAACAAGAAAGCTAAGGACATTAAAGAGCATTTGTTTGAAGGCACTGGCGAGCCATCAAGACAATCAGGCCTAAGGGCCCAAGATCCTAGAAAAGTAAAAACCATGAGAAGATGAGCCATATTCTGAAATTGCTTTTTCCTTTGGGGAACTTGGGAGTCCTGAGCAAAAAGAAAGAGGCAGAGGGTCCAGAATCGGACTAGTAGAGTAAGCACAGGAACTAGCAAAAATGTCAGTAGGCTTGTAAGTCCAGAAGAAAAAATTACTTTCTTGACAATAGAGGGACAGATCCTATAAGATGGAGAAAAGAACTGAACCCAGATATCAGTCAGAAATCTTCACAATCTTCAGAAATGAATAGGATACATAGGTATTTAAAGACAGCAAAACAGAAACTTTGTTAGTCTAAAATAAACAGCCGTAGGAATTCTTCAGACAGAGAAAAAGGAACCTAGATGAAAAAACTGAAATGCATAAAGAAGTTAAGAGATACAGAAAAGTAAATACAACAAGTGTTAACTATAAAAACATTAAAATTTATGTTTTGTAGTATTTAAAATATATGTAGAACTAAAATGCTTGGCAACATTAAAGCCTGGAGAAAATGAAATGTCCTAAGATCTTAACATTATATAGAAGAAATACAAATTCTAAATTATATGAGAAAGTAATAAGCCAGGAACACACGTTTTCATAATCAGGATACTTACTAAAATACAAATAAAACAATGTTTAAGTACCAAGTTTCAAAAGGAAAACAGAATAACAAAGCCATTAAACTAAAAGAAGACCAAAAAAAACAACAAAAAACAAAACCACAAATGCATGGAGACAAGTTAGTTAAAATACAGGTTCAACACAAATAGTAAAATGGTAGCTATAAACCAAATATTTAAGTAATTATATTAAATATAAATGGACTAAATACTCCAAGTAAGACTAAGATTGTCAGGTGAAATCTTAAAGATCTCAATTACATGTTGATTTGAAGAGATACATCTCTAATAAGAGCTAAAAAGTAGGAAAAATGAACTTTGGGAAAAGCTATGCCAGAGACACACTGACATCTAACAAAAGAAAAACATGCTTAAATCAGACAAAGCAGACCTAAAGGCAAAAAGCATTGCTAGAGATAAAGTGGATGTTTTACAATAGTAAAAAGGTCAATCCAGAGGCCAGCAGGTGCTGTAGTGGCTACAGCAGTGGACTCCCACATGACCAACCATGATTCACCTATTGGACTTGGCAGCTTGAAAATCATGCTGAGCACACACATGTGTGTGTGCCTAAGATCCCAGAAGAAGAATGGAAGAGAAGACTGTGGCATGGCCATCCCCCCAGGGGGTGATTTCACTTTTCTTCTCACTGTCTTTCTTATAAATTCCAGGGAATTTATAAGCCCTATGGAGGAAAAAAAATTGATCCACCCATGAAGCAAAAACAAAACTAAAAGGAAAAAGAGATAAATTCACAATAATATTGACAGATTGACAGATATTAACACACTCCTTTCAATATATTATAGAAAAGCAGATTTTTTTAAAAAAATCAGTAAGGGGACCAGAAGATGGAATAATGGCTACATCGCTGGACTCCCATGTAGCTGAACACAGTTCGAGTCTTGGACCCGGTGGCTTAAACTTACACTGGGTGCGTGTGCGTGCATGCCCAAGATCCTGAGAAGAGAATGGAGGAGAAGGGATTGTAGCATGGCCATCCCCCCGGGAGGTGATTTCTCACTTTCTGTCTCTCTGTCTCTCTCTGTCTTCATGGCAAGCACACACGCCCTATAGCAAAAACCTCCCCGCTCCAAAAAAAAAAAATCAGTAAGGAGGTGCAGCAGCAATGGCACAGACAGTAGGGCATCACTGCACAGTACTAGAATAATATGGGAGGCCCAGTTCAGATCCCAAGTCTATCCAAATGCTTGGCACATCCACATGTGCCCATAATCCTGGCTAACAGGGAGGCCAAGAGAGGACTGAGGTGTGGTGGGGCCCGTCGAAGGTACACCTTTCTCTCTCTCTCTGTCTCTTTCTCTCATTTGTACACTCTGTTTCTATTTCTCTCATGAAAGAAATCAAGCAAACACCAACAACAGAAAAAGGGTCAGTAAGGATATAGATCTGAATAATACAATTAGCTTCACCTAATCAACTAAATCCAGCACTGACAGGATGCACATTCTTAAATACACACAGAACATTTAATAAAATGAGCCATATGCTGGGTCATAAAGCAAACCTCGACACATTCCAAAGGATTTAAATCATTCAGAGTAGGCCCTCTGATTCCTGTGAAATTAATCTAGAAATTAATAACAGAAAATTAATTAAAAAATCCTCCTCTCTATCCTGCTAGCTATCTCTGCTCCAACGTTTATGTCAATTTTTTTGGTAATTTATAGCCAAGCTTGAAAGGGGGGAAGAGAGCAATTCTTGAGCCAGAAAGAAGTAGAAACTGCAAGCCAGAAGGATAATCCATAAGCCAACACCACAGAAGCCCAGGGAAGTTTCAACAGAAATGTGTATTCCAAGGACTGGTGATTGCATTTTTTGGATTTTTTAAAATTTGATATATTATTATTATTCTAATTTGCTATAGGGCTCACATGCTTACTGGAGACACACACAAAGAGAGACAGAGAGATGGAAAGTGAGAAAGCAAGCTGCCAGGTCTGGGACTTGAACCATGCTTGACCATATGGGAGTCCAGTGCCTTAAGTACCATGCCACCTGCTGGCCCCCATGGCTGTTTTCATATCCATAAGGATAAAGGGGAATACGGCATTGGCCTTATAAGAGGCAAGAGTGAACTAAGAACTCTCAATAAAGCTAGGACCCTAGAAGATTGCTGCTTCCTCACAGAAGGGGATGGAAAAGATCCAAGCAAAGTCTCAGGAACAAAATCTGACTCCACTCAGAAACGGTAGAGGACAGGAGTTGTCTCCCATTAGAAAGTGAAACTGCAAACCTAGTCCACTCCAATTAGATGGGAAGTTTTAATGTATGCTTCCCAAGAAGGATAATGCCAAATGGAGGTCCCAGACCTCAGAGTGTTTTAACTAAGGCCAGATAAGTTCTCCAATAACACAAAAAGGCCCTTGGAAAGGGGGTGCAGTGTGGGAGCCCCGCCAGTCCCAGCTGAGTGTATCCATGGTCTTTGAGAGCTTCCTGACCCAGGAGAGAGGGAAGCCTGGAAGCCCAGGGGATTAAGTGGGCAGTCCAGACCCCTGGACCTGCTGAGCTCCTCCCTCCCCACATATGCATGAGGTCAGTCTGGGAATGGGGTAGGTGGAGACTCCTTGTGTAGGACCAGTTGGACCAAGAGGCCACATGCCATGGTTAAAGAGGTTGGGCCTAGAGCCAGCAGTAAGGAAAGAGGAGACTCTAGGAAAGAGAGACTGCTGGGAGGATCCGAGAAGGCAGATGCAGGATGAGGATGGAGGGCAAGAGCCCCTATGGGTTTGCAGACAGAGCCTTGATTCTGCTCCAGACCCTCCCCATCACCAAGGTCTCCGGGGGTGTGTGATGGTTCTCTCAGGGGCCAGCCTTCCCCGTTCGCAGTCCTAGGAGGGTGCACGAGACTCAGGACAGAGTGTTTCCAAGAGAGGAGAGAGTAAGGAAGAAGGGATGACTCAAGAGTGAAAGAACTAGGTAGGAGGAGGCTCTCAGCTCAGACCATCCGCAGTTGTACTCCAGGGCCGGCGACAGAGAGGCCAGGGCACTGGACTCAGACCAGAGTCCTTAGCCTCACATCAGCCGCCAGGCCCTCTTAACTCCCTTTCCCTGCGGACACTGCTGGGGCAATTGTTCCCACCTGTGGGGCTGCTGGGAAAAGCCTGAGCCCAAGATACATGTGGTGCTCACATGTATCTTGGGGGGGGGGGCAGCTACCCAGCAACCACTTCCTCACCTCTGGGTGCCT